GTGTTGTTTTCAGGAAAGGTTTACTCTCTAGGTTGCCATATCAAGCCCAACATTTATCCAAGCATCACATTGGGCTATTGAACTGGGTATAACATTAGTCCAGAATTTGACTGGTTTTCAATAAAATTCAATATTTTATGGAAAGGTATCAGAGAAAATAATGGGTGATTTTATTTTGGGGACATGTCCCTTCAAGCTAGTGTAGTGAATGTCCACCCAGATTACAACTATGATCCCCTTTCTTTGCATCCGTTTTGGGCATGTTTGTAGTTTACTTCACATAGGTATTCCCAGATCTCACAGCAGAGTTTTTCACCTGGCTTGTCTCCTCTCATAATACTAAACATTTTGTGAGGGTTTTTACGTCAGTCCTTCCTGTGTGACCTGGTGTTTTTTGGAAGTTATTCTTAGTGAAATGCCCAGATCTAATACATATTAATATATCTTTATTAAAGTCATTTTATCTGCATTATTCAGTGCACTTTGTTTCTTCTTTTTGGTGCTGTGGGCAATGAGGAAGTGGTTCAGTTAGAAAAACCTCAAAACACAATATCTTATGTCAGTCTGTTGTTAATATTAGGATTCTGTGATAACTTTTATTTTTATTTTTCATACAGTTATACTAATAAACACAATTAGCCACTTATCATCTACTGTGGAAAACATTTGCAGCTACACAGAACTTCGCTATCACAAGATGAGTAAAGTTGGAGAGAAGCCCCATGAGTGTTCTGAGTGCCAGAAGAGTTTTCCTGATAAGTCACAACTAAAGGTTCATCTTAGGGTTTACACAGGAGAGAAACCATTTATATGTCCAGAATGTGGAAAGTGCTTCTCACAAAGTTCATATCTTACTATACACCAGAGGATTCACACAGGAGAGAAGCCATTTAAATGTTCAGAATGTGACAAGTGCTTCTCACATAGTACAAGTCTTACTGAACACCAGAAAATTCACACAGGAAAAAAACCATTTCAATGTTCAGAATGTGGAAAGTGCTTCTTATAAAATGCTGCTCTTACTAGTCACGAGAGGATCCACACAGGAAAGAAACCATTTCAATGTTCAGAATGTGGCAAGTGCTTCTCAGAAAGTTTATATCTTACTCAATACCAGAGGATTCACACAGGAGAGAAACCATTTCAATGTTCAGAATGTGGCAAGTGCTTTTCACAGACCTCTACTCTTACTCACCATCAGAGGATTCACACAGGAGAGAAACCATTTAAATGTTCAGAATGTGGAAAGTGTTTCTCACAAAGTTCATATCTTACTCACCACCAGAGGATCCACACAGGAGAGAAACTACATAGAGAATGTGGCAAGGAGTTTTCATAGACAACAAATCTTAAGTAACATGAAGATGCACACACTGGAAAAGCCATATTCATCTATATGATCAATATTTTAATTCTAATTAAACTCAGATCTTGTTCTAAAAGCTTCACAGAGAAGAGAAGCCATATTCTTATTGTTGTATTAATTAAACACATTCATGCAAAAAAAGCCACAAGCCACACAAATATTTTTAATTGCCACACACATTTTTAGAAGATAGCTGCATTGTAAATAAACTTTGTAGAAATATCCAAATGATTGCAAAATAAACTGTGTAACTATGCAAATTATTCATGGTTTGATTTTCAACAGTTTAACCTTAAATCATGTTTTTAAGCTTAGTATGAAAGTCTGAATTTTGTTCTACAATTTATCTAGCAGAGAAGGTTTATCCTTATTTACTACATAATGTCAATTTGTACTATTGTTTAATGTTTTCAATTAAAATGTTTAACGTGTGCTTTGTAATAACAAAGCCTAAGCCCACTGACTTTATCAAGTCTATGCAAACTCTATTCACTTGCATTACATGCAGGACCAGCGAGGGTCATTCCACAACTGGAGCCAGAGAGGTGAGCGCTCACTGCCACAGGACTGAGGAACGGATGAGTCCATCTTCTTTATTCTGCTCCCTAGACCAAAACAATGGGCAGCCCCACTACAACGGTTCACTTTTTAAAATCCTGGAGATCTGTTTTAAAGCTTCTCCTATAATCTGCACTCTGCACTCTGATATTTTTACCATTCCCCCCCCCC